CTGGCTTCCGTGGCCAGCGGGTCGCCAGAAGGTTTCTCCAGCCCTGCGATGAACACGGTCGCTGCTCGGTTGCTTTTGAATTCTGGGTTTTCTTTTCTTTTTTTCCACTCCCCGCGTCAGATTTTTTTGCAACGTTTTTTTCTAGGTGGAAAGCAAAGGAAAGAAACCAACAAATACTTCCTCGTAGAGAAGGAAGAAAAAGACGATGTAGATTATTTTGTATTTCTTGCATCATTGTATAAAGCGCAGAGGACGGGAGTGCAATACGGAAAGTCCCACGGCTCTGAGAGGAGGGAAGCCAGAGCGCGCCCGGCACGGCCAGGGCAGAAATGCTGTACGTTAATGTGAATGTAAATAGTGTTTGCAGAGGTCCAAAAATAATAATAATAATAATAATAATGATAGTGATAATAATAAGAGACATTTGCCAAATAAAAGATGATGAGAAACCACTGGAGGATGTGACGTTTAGGAGCTAGGTTTAACCGAAAAGAAGCAGAATTCATGTGCTCGTTAGGAGCTTTAGTTTCCGGATTTGCAAAAACCATCCTGTGTGTTTTCTTTAGAGAAGAAAGAAGGGTTTGGGGTCGGTTTGGTCGCGTTTCCAGGCACTAGTCACTGAGAGGCCTGGCCGTGGGTGCTGTGTTCGAATTTCCCTCCTGGTGGTCCCCTCGGCCGCAGGGCCGTGCTGTGCCGTGCCGTGCTGTGCTGCGTCGCGCCATGCCGTGCTGTGCCGTGCTGTGTCGCACCATGCCACGCTGCGCCGTGCTGAGCCGTGCTGCGTTGCATCGTGATGTGCTGCACAGTGCTGCACTGTGCTGTGTTGTACCATGCCACGCTGTGCCGTGCTGAGCCGTGCTGCGTTGCATCGTGTTGTGCCGCACCGTGCCACACCATGCGGTGTCACACCATGCCACGCTGTGCCATGCCGAGCTGTGCTGCATTGCATTGTGTTGTGCTGCACGGTGCTGAGCCATGCTGTGTCGCACCATGCCATGCCGCGCCGTGCTGAGCCGTGCTGCGTTGCATCGTGTTGTGCCGCACCGTGCCACACCATGCGGTGTCACACCATGCCACGCTGCACCGTGCCGTGCCATGCCGTGCTGCATTGCATAGTGCTGTGCTACACCATGCCGTGCCGTGCCGTGTCACACCATGCCACGCTGTGCTGTGCCATTCTGAGCCACGCTGTGTTGCACCATGCTGTGCTGCACTGAGTTGTGCCATGCTGTGTCACACCATGCCGTGCTGTGCCGTGCCGTGCCGTGCCATGCCATGCTGCGTTGCACGGTGCTGTGCTGCACTGTGCCATGCCATGCTGTGTCGCACCATGCCACGCTGCGCCGTCCCATGCCGGGCCGTGCTATGTTGCACCATGCTGTGCTGCACCGTGCTGTGCCATGCCTGGGGCTCGGTGTGCATTGCAGCAGGGCCCGGTACGCGGGATGTCTCCCAGGTGGTGGTATCGGCGTGCTGCTGGTGCGGTGCCCCTGCCCTGAGCCTCACTGCTGGGGCTGGGGGCAGCCAGGCTGGGGCCGGGGCCGGAG